AGGGAGATATAATTTATTTAATTTAATACTTATAAAGCTATAAAATACTAAATATTAAAACAAACCGACTAAACAATAAGTTAAACTTTAGGAAAATTAAACTATTTAAAATTCTAAAGAAAATTAAAAAAGTTAATTATAAATTTAAAATGCTTAAAAATATAAAACTAAAATACCTAGTGTTTTATATATTATTACTAAAAAAGGCATAAATTAATAAAAAAACTAAAAAACTAATTTTAAATAAAATTATAGTATTAAAAAAAAAAAAAAACTGAGATATAGAAAAAGTACTTACTATATATTAAAACCCAGAATATAATAATAAAATTAAATACTTAATTTAATAGGAAAAGTATAGATTTGCCTATAATACTTAGGAACCTATTGAAAGCTTTAACTTTTAAAAATTAATAAAATAGTTTTATTAAAACCTTAGATTATATTACTAAAAACTATATTTTAATTAATTATATTAACCCCACTGGAAAACTATATATTAATAACTGCCTTTAACTCAGCCTATTCTATTTTATTTAACTTATTTAAAAAACGAACATTTTTATAAAGTATTTATTCTCTGTAAATATTAATTTACTTACGCTGCTTTTACAGCTTAGCTAACTATGCAAACTTTTTATTTATTTATTAAATTAATAATATTACTTACTATTATTATTATAATAGTTTTTATTTTATTTAATGCTTTTTAATGTTTATATATTCCTTTTTAATAGCTAAACGTTATACTATAAAATTAATATAAAAAATATTAATAAAAAAAAAAAAAATAGAAAATTACTTACTATTAGCTAATAAAATCCCATTTTTATTATAAATATAACTATAATATATATACTCTTTATACCTTTTATACCTAAGCGCCATTTTATAAAGTAACTTATTAATTTTATAATATAAGTAAAGTATAATAAAAAACCTAATAGTCTTAATTATAAATACTACCGCTTTATAATTCTTTAAAAAATTTTTAATAATAAAAAACTGCTAACTTTACTTAATAATACTGTAAAGTATTATTAAGAATAAAAAAGGAGACTTACTTAAGAATTAATACAGGGGCCTAATATACTATATATAAGTCTTAAGGGTAAGATTAATAAAAAAGGGATATTATATTATAACCTAAATAAAAGTATATACCCTTTAGGTAAAATATAAAAGAAATAACTAATTAAAATTAGGGGTTTTAAAACTTACTTTAATATATATAACTTAAGGAGTAAACTTTAACACTAAGGTTACAGGCTTATTTAGTATAAAAGGATATTATAATATAAGCCCTAAAGAATAACTAGATATATAAGTTCACTTTATTACGTTTATTTAAATAGTTTAAATAACCAGTCGTTAATAAAATATTAAAATTAAATATAAATTATACTTTTTATTTTATTTTTATATATTTATAATTATAACTGCTTAAAAACTACTCTCTGTCCTTTCTGCTAATATAAACCTACAACCTAGGTTTATTACCTTAGGAACCCTTACCCTATACTAAGAATAGGGATTAAGACATTATAATATAACTTTTTAATTTAATAAAAAATTAATAAAATAATTATTAATTTAAATATAAATTAATATTTAGATTATTAATTTAACTTAGGATAATTAAATATATAAATTTATATTTTTATACTTTTTTAAATAGCTTAAATAATTAGTTATTAATATAGTAATTAAATTAAATTTAGCTATTATATTTACTAACTATATAATATTATTAAAACTACATTTATATTTAACTTAACTGCTTTGCTAATATAAACCTAAAACTTAAAGGTTTATCCCTTAAAAATAGTTAACTTATATTAATATATAAAACTCAGTTTATTACAGTTTTTAAAATAATAAACTTAAGTTATAAGTTTATATTAATAAAAAAAATAAAAAATAACTTTTTAATAATAATAATTATAAATATATAAAAATAAAATAAAAAATTAAACTTATATTTAATTTTAATATTTTATTAATAATTAACTATTTAAACTATTTAAATAATTATAATAAAATAAACTTATATATTTAGTTATTCTTTTATTTTTACTTAATTTTATATTATTTTATTTATAAAAATATAGTTATTTTTATAATCTTTAAGGTATATATTAACATAAATTAAAAAAAGCTATGCTTTTATTAATTACTTTTACTTATACTTTTACTGCAGTATATACTTTTATTAAGTCAGTTCATAATATATTTTTTATAAATTAAATAACTAGTGTAATATAAAAAATAGATTATAAATGATTTTTAGTTTATATTTTTTTATATTTAGTTTTAAAATCTATAAATATATACTTACTGCTATATGTGTATACTTAATTAAGTATAATAATACTAGCCTTTTAATTATATATAAATAAAAAGTATACAGTTGGGGGGATATTCTAAGGCGTATAGACGAAAAGTATATAATTTAATGAATTACAGCGGCCACTTGGTACAGTAGTAAAGCCACCAACGCCTCTGCTGCTGAATTATAAAAGCTAATAAATATCATTCATTCATTCATTTATTCATAGACTGTCCCAGCCGCTTTCAGGCGGCTATGCAGCTGTGCAACTATTATATATAAGAGAGTTATTAGCCTTAAGAATAGCGTATGTTAGCGGGCGGCGCAGGTCCAATAGCGGCGCAGGTTAGACAGTGGCGTAGGTTGAAAAAGGCCTAGGTTGAGAGGTGGCGCACGTCCAAGAGTGGCGCAGATCCAATCGTAAGATCTTGGGCGAACGACTACCTGCCTTTTGAAAAGGAATTTTATGCAAGGCCTCTTATAAAAACACTGTTAGACCAGCACGTCTTAATGCCTAAAAGGGCGCTAAGTAGACGTTAATAAACCATTATCGTTACCGTAAGCTTATAAGTGTTAATAAAGAGCTATTAATATAAATTTGTATAATATATATAAGAGTAAACAAATATATAAATATCTAGAGATAGGAAATTCTAGAGCTTAAAAGTAAGGAATATATGGCAGAACCACAATCTTCTTGGGATCCCACTTAGAGAGAACGTTAGTATAGATCGGCGCCACAACTTGAAGCTAGGAACTTACCACGTTGCCGGTATAGTACGCGTCGTCCTCTACCACTTTTTTAGCTGCCTCTAAGTTTTCTACCTTCAGGACGAACACAGAACCCGCGAACGTTGGGTTAGCTGCCGTCGAGCTTGCAGTGAGAACAGGGCCGCCATAGTCTGGGGATAAGGTTTAGTATCGTTTCAGCGGGGGTTGAAGTAGGGTTTATGTAATTACCTAAGTTTCCGGTCGCATTCAACGAATTAGCATGCGCAAGGTGGGCTTCCGCAGCAACTTTCTGACGGGCCAGCATGTCAGAGTCACTCTGGGCTGGGGCATAAATAAAATATTCAAGAGGTTTAGATTCTGCGGAGACAGCAACAGCCGCAGAGGCAGCAAGAGCAACAAAGACGCAGCTGAAGAACATGACTTTTTGAGACTTTGAGAGAGTTATAGTCTTGTTAGTAGTAAAGAAATGGCGTGAGTATACTATTCTTTATATACACTCACGATGTAGTAGGCCCACATGTATGCACCCACTTAGCTTATTACTGATGGTAAGCTTATATTATATTTATCCACCTGTTAAGTCGCCGATTAGACTGATTGGGTTTTAGCGTAGTGGCGTTAATTATGTTATTAGTGCAGACAAGGATGCCTGGTGACGTGTCTAGGTAGCATACGTAATGGTGGAGTGACTCCACTACCGCCAGTACAGTAAACGTTAGTTATAACGGACCCCATATATAACAATAGTCTTCTATCTTATTAAAGGTGTTAAGGCAGAATGCATGTATCTTTCTGACATTAAACCAATCAGAGAGTGAGAAAATCAAGGGTACATCGTTCATGCGCTAAAATAAGTGTGAGACCAAGTCCCCTGCAGCCCCTCCTATACCTATAGGTACTTTATTCTTAGCATCAACCCGCCTAAAGGAGGGGGTCTAAGCACTAAATCTGTTAGCAAGAAGATTGAGAAAGGTACCGCACCGCTGACAAAGAAAGTACAAAAATTCTACCTTAACACTTTCAATGGAATAGTAATTAAAAAACTAAAATAACTAATATTCTACACTTATTAATAATAAAACTTTAATATTAATAATATTATCTTAAAGTTAATAACTAACTTATATAAATAGTATTTTAAAATTAAACTTTTTAATAAATTTAACTAAAGGAATTAATATAATATTTAGTTTTTTAAAAACTTTTTATTTAAAAATACTATAAGTAAATATAATAAAAATATTAAAAAAAAATTATATTTATAAAAAATAAAAAAATATAAAATTATTAATATATTATTATAGTAAAGTTTTAAAAATAAAATTAAAAAAAAATATTATATTATA